AAAGCAGTCAGATTTCCAGGCAGATGGGCCGGTGATGGCAGCAGAGATGAAGGGAGACGGGAATAGCGATCTCAGAGAGGTGGGAGGAGATAAGACTGGTGACCCAGCATTAGAAAGGAGGCAGGAGACTGACAAGTAGGAAGCATACAAGTGGGCTGGATGGCACTCAGAGCTCTTTGTCATCCAGTGTCCCTATCTGGCTAAAGGTCCAGTGGTCAGCCCCACTCCTTCATCCTCACCTCAGTCACCAAGGGCTGCTCTTATAAGTGTGGTCAACTTCCAGCTGGGCTCCCTGATTTACTCACTTGCCCTCCTATACCTGCCCTCACCTATCTTCTGGCAAAAATGCACCAGTTCACTGTCCTTCACCACCTCCTACTGGGTCCAGATTCACCCCCTCAGCCTGCTTTCCCAGGCCTCCTTCACCAGAGCCACCCAAAACCTCAGTAAGATCATCTCCTCACAGCCCCAGGATTTTCCAACTCCCTAGTTCATCCATTTAGTAACCATCAAGTGGCATCTATAGCAGCACTGGGTAGAAAACCATGAACAGATTATCAGTAATAACTCTTAGAGCCAACCACTCCTGGGGGAACACTGACAGTTTTAAACAGGCTGATAACATAATGCATGGCAGGTCAGAGAAGAGACATGCAGGACATCACTTGCAAAATCATTCTCTCCTGAAACATACCCTCTCCCCTCCCTCCACTGTTCTGCAGCTTAGCTCACATCCTGCCTCATCCCTGAGGACCTCATGATAACTCCTCTCATACTTAGCAGTTCACCACTCTAAGTGCCCCCTTAACATTCCAGAGGGGCCCCATACTCTGGCTATGTCTGCTACTACTCACTTGTCAGTCCCTTCACTTCTGAGTCTTCCTAAAGCAGCATTGTGGGCAGACACAGGGTGCCCAGCAAGGTGCAGAACCAGTTTCTGTAAGCAGGGGAGACAGAGTCTGTCAGTCAGAAGCAGCTGGAAGAACAGATCACATTGGGATCCACCTGCCACAAAGATCCCAAGATCATAGAATGCTATGAACTCCAGAAATTCTAATCATGCAGAAGTGCAACAATAAACCAGAAACTGAAAAGGGCCAGGAGCTAAGCGCCCACCTCTGCTACAGGCAGGATGGAGCCCAGGACATATGCTAAATCATGATGCCCATCCACCACAGCAGTCCTTTAGGCAGAGCTTGCCCTGCCAGCTTATTCAACTGGCTCTAGGCAACGGCCTGGTGGTTATCAAGTTTCAGGAAAAGTAAACAGGACACACTGAAGCCCCTGTCTTTCAGGACACTCCCATGCTAGACAGCTGAAGGAACTATGGTACAATTTTTATTCCAGTAACAAATATTATTTTAAAATATTTGAAATACTGAAAGTTAACCCACCTCAATTTTTACTTTCCTTTATATTTGACTTTGCCTTTTTATCTATCCTTGATATTTATTTCTGTTTGTGGTTTATAAACCTGTGCAAAGTGAGACTATAAATAGAGTTGCCAGATTTAGGAAATAAAAATACAGGATACTCAGTTAAATTTGAATTTCAGACAAATAACAAATAATTTTCCAGAATAAGTATGTTCCAAATGGGCACAGCAATATTTTATCTACCAAGTCTAACTGTAAAGGAACAAAGCTGTGTTTACGACCTGGCTGTTCTCCAACACCAAGATGGAGCCCCTGATTTAGATGCCCTCAACACCTCCTTGCTGGCACATCAGCTGTCTCTCATTATCCCTGCCTGGAAATATACCTTTGCCCTTTACCCCTCCATCCCCTCATACTCACTTCTTTGGATAAACCCTTCAATGGCAGGCAAAAGACAGGAGAGGGTCAGGCAAATCCCTGACCATGGTTCATTCTCAATTCTTGGCTCTCACCAGCCTCCTCTCTTCAGCACAAAATGCCGAGGAAAGACAGAAATCAATTTTTCTCTTCAATAAATGGGCCTTACTTCAGGCCTCCTACAGGAGAGTCACCTATTCATTTATACCTGGTCATTTCCTATGGGATTCAAAAGAGAAAACACAGGAGTATTGTTGCTGGTTTTGTGTTTTCATTGGGCCAGAAGAGATCCTTTGTTTTCACTCACTCTCGGGAGGACAATAAAATCTTTGCTAAAGTACCAAACACGCAAAGGGTAAGCTGTACTCTTGCCCATGGGAGGGATTTCTCAAGCCGGAGACCCCTTCCTTTTCATGGTTCCTCACCTCTCCCAGAGTCTAAGCAGGATGAAGTAGAATGAAAGGTGGCCCCAAAGATATCAGGGCCTAACTCCTAGAGGAGTGTGACCTCACTTGGTAAAAGGTCTTTGTGGGTGGTATAATCAAACCATAACAGACCCAAAGTGACTTCATATTGTTCTTAGTCTTGGAGTCAATAAACTGTAGAAAATCAGGGTTTTTTTTTTAAGAATTATTTATTTAATTTTTATTTGCTCATTCACTTGTTTTAATTTGACCAGAGAGAGAGAGACATATAGAGAAAGAGGGAAAGTGAGAAAGCAAGCCACCAAGTCCGGGATTCGAACTGTAGTCAGTTATGTGGGAATGTCCAGCGCCTCAGCGCCTTAACTACCACGCTACCTGCTGGTCCCAGGAAAATCAGTTTTTAACGTCCATCTTTTACTTCACAATGAGTCTTTATAGATACCTGGCTATGGAGAAAGCAAGAGGAAAGATCAGCCCCCTCCCATATGACCAGCTGAGAAAATTTTATCAACTCAAGCATTACAAGCCACATATAGCTTCCAAACCAGGACCTAAGACTTGTCTTGACTGATTCAATTTGCTTCTGCTGCCCTTGTTAATCACTGCTTATCTTAAAGCCCCTTGAAGAGAATGGAAACCAGTCATTCCACCCTGCCCTGCATGCCCCTCAAGCACCCCCTGACATTGCCAGTCTTCTTATACTCCTGCCAAAGACAATGACCAGGACTCCTCATCTTTTTGCTCCAAGACAATGAACAACTTGCTCTTTGCTTTTTGAATGTACCTAACACCAATTCTTCACCTATATATAAGTTGTGTATTCTGTCTAGTATGGTGGAGACAGTTATGGACTTTGGTCTGCCCTCTCCCTAGTGCTGGCCTCACTGAACAAATAAATTCCTTTCCTTATTCATCAAGTTTTGCCTCTTTGTGGCAAATGCATAAATGCAATTTCTAATACTTGAAATGAACATCCCTTCCCATTCAGGCATCACTGAGATTAAATTAAGGATATTAACATAAAATGTCAATCTTGGATTATCCAGATGGGCTCAAAATGTAATCACGAATGTCCTTAAAAAATGGAGACAAGGAACTCAATCAGCTCATCCACAAAATAATTAATAATCCAGTTTAAAAATGGGCAACCAATCTGAATAGACAACTCTCAAAAGAAGACATATGAACATATATCAAAAAATGTTTAATATCTGTTATTATAAGAGAAATCCAAATCAAAACTACAATGAGGTATCACTCCAGTAAAGCTGGCTAGGATCACAAATAAGAAGTGCTGGTGATGTTGTGGAGAAAAGAGAATCCTGTGCACTGCTGGTAGGAATGTAAACTAAACTATTATAACCGCTGTGGAAAACAATATGGAAGTGCCTCAAAAATTTACCAAGAGAACTACCATATGACTCAGTAATCTCATTCTGGGTAACAGGACAAGAAATCACTCTGTCATAGAGACACTTGTACATCCATTATTATTGCAGCATTGAACACAATTGCTAAGGCATGGAATCAAATACCCAAGAACTATGACTAGATTGAAAAAATGTGGCACATATACAAAACTGAATACTACTCAACCATAAAGAACAATAAGGCCTTGTCATTCAAAACAAAATGGATAATATAAATTTAATACTAAGTGAAATAAGGCAGACTGAAAGAGAATATGGTATGTACCCACATTTGACATATACCAAAGGTTTGTACTCTCTGGCGGAAACAAAAAAATTTGAAGAAATAGAAGTAGAAAGGGCAACTGTACATACTAGAGACTACAAAGGGGATGAGACATAGGGCAGGGGGAAAGACTAAGGAAAAATTATTTAACAGACACAAGACAACAGGCAAATAGGTTATAGAACAGTATACCATAACCGAGTTAAAAGGGGGAAGTCATTGCTATTATACACATACATACACACGCATCTTAGAGAAACTAGTAGAATGAAATAGTTACAAAAGGGAGGAGGCATTGCTAAATACACACACACAACACACACACACACACACACACATCTCAGAGAAACTAGCACAATAAAAATCAAATGTGTACAATATAATGTAATGCTCTTTAGTGAAGCGGATGACTATGGTAATATCCTTGATTTGATTATCACACACTGTATGCATGCTTTGAAAAACCACTCTGTACCTTGACAAATGTGTACAACAATTAAATGTAAATGAGAAATTATAAAACAAAATAAACAAATGGAGAGGGTACATAATAGGAAGGCAGAAGGGATATTAGACACAGAGAAGGTCATGTAGCAACAGAGGCAGGAAACAGAGTAATGTGGCCACTCACCAAAGAATGCCTGGAGGCATCAGAAGCTGGAAGAGACAGGGAACATCCACCCTTAGAACCTTCAGAGGGAGTCCAGCCCTATCGACATCTTGATTTCAGGTTTCTGACCTCCAAAACTGTGAGAAGATAAATTTCTGCTGTTTTAAGTCCTCCAGTTTGTAATACTTTATTATAGTAGCCACAAGAAACTAATTAAGAAATGGGCCCTGGAAATCTTCCTCCTCCTGGTGCCAAGTGCCCCATTCTTACAATGAGGAAGGCACTTGACTGCCACATGCTTAAATCCACAAAACTGAACTTCCACATGGACCTATGGTGTCACTCTAATAATGCCCAGGACTGGACTCCAGGCACCTAGGGATGTAGGGACCTCTGATGAGCAAGGCAGCCTAATATCTTACCCTGACAGAGATGTATCCCTGGGAAAACCCATTCTGAACTGGCTCCACTGGACAGCAGCTCAGGAGGCAAGTCCACAATTCACTGTCTTCTCCCATAAGCTGATACATAGCAGGGACTTGATACAGATATGCTGAGGTCCTGGTCACCTCTGAAAGCTTATACCCACTTCCAGCAATAATTCTGCAAACCTACACATGACATCACGGCACCATTGTTAATGTTTACCAAGAATTCCCCATGTGGTAGGCATCATATCTAATCATTTCTCACACATTAGCCTATTAAATACTCACAACAACCTTAATATTAACCCTATTTGGTAGATAAGTTATAGCACAGAGAAGTAGTTTGCCCAAGGTCAAAATAGATAAGGAAGGTGAGGTGAAGAATATATTATCAAAATATAGCTATCTAAGTCTTTCCTCTCAGACCTTAGTAAACCTGGATGGTGCCTTATGTCCAGTGCATGTATGCTAGGCCCCAGGATTCAGAGGTCCTCTGTCTTTGAGAAGTCAAAAAATAACTCACAATCCCTATTGTTAAGAAGCTTTCACCAAAGGAAGACAATAAATAATGCATATTTTCAAGGGTAGTAGGTGGTGGATCCCACATCACCACCTCCACAGTTCAAGTCCTAGACTCAACAGCTTGAAAAACATGCCAGGCATGTGTGCAGCCATGCCCAGAATCCCGAGAGGAGAATGGAAGAGAAGGGACTGCAGTGTGGCCATTCCCCCTGGGAGGGTGATTTCCCATTTTCCCTCTCTCTCTGTCTCTCTCCAGCAAGTGCACATGCCCTATGGCAAAAAAGAAGGGACCAGCAGGTTGTATGGTGGTTAAGGCCCTGGAGTACCACATGGCTAACGGCGGTTTGAGCTCCAGATCGAGCAGCTTAAAAATCACACTGGGAACGTGTGTGTGCATGCTCAAAATCCTGAGAGGAGAATAGAGGAGAAGGGATTGTGGCATGACAGTCCCCCTGGGGAGTGATTTCTCACTTTCCTTCTCTCTGTTTCTCACTGTTTCTGGTGAGCAAATATGTCCTATTGCAAAAAAAAAGGAAAAAAAACCTTCCTTTCTGATCTACAGTGGGACTACCACCAAGATACAGATTTTCATAAAATCTCTTATGGGGAAAACCATTATTCTCAAGTTGAACTATTAGATACAACAGAAAATGTAAAAGCCAAGACCCAGCCTAAGGAAGGAATTCCTCCTGATCATGAAAGATTGACTTTTTGCTGACAAGCAGCTGGAAGATGTACATACTTTGTTGACTACAACATCCAAAAGGAGTCTACCCTTCACCTTGTGTTGAGACTTCATGGTGATGTTAAGAAAATAAAGAAGTCTTGGGGCCAGCAGGTGGCATGGTGGTTAAGGCGGCTGGACTCCCACATGGCTGACCACAGTTCGAGTCCTGGACCTGGCAGCTTGCTTTCTCACTTTGCTTCTCTCTGTCTCTCTCTGGTTAACTTCAAAATAAAATAAAATAAAATAAAGACAATGAATACAATTACATAAAAAATAATTAAAAAAAAAAGAAAAGAAAGAAGTCTTATACCATTCCCAAGAAAAATAACCATAGATAAAGAAGGTTAAGCTGGCCATCCTGAAATACAATAAGACGGATGAAAATGGTAAAATTAGTCGCCTTTATCAGGAGTGCCCTTCAGATGAATGTGGTGCCAGACATTATTATGGCAAATGTTGTTTGACTTACTGCTTCAACAAACCAAAAGACAAGTAATTGTGTATGAGTTAAGAAAAGAAACTAAGCTTTAAAAAAATCTAAAAGAATGCATAGTTTTGGAAAGGGAAAGGTCAAGATTGCAGACTAGTAACACCCACTATAACATCTCTCTGGGAAGAAAGGCTAATAAATGCCTCAGCTTCCAACAGAGAAGTGAGGCAAGATTGATGAAGAAAAAAAAAAAGATGGCAGGAATTTCTGAACACATAACTTCTTTTTTCTTTTTTTTCCTAAGGGAAGTCCTGGCTGCCTACAGGCAGACCCTGCAGACAGTTTTATTCTCTACAGAATCAGTCAGTGCCCATCACGCTCCCGTCTCATTGGCAGCAGAGTAAACAGTCGTCCCTCCAGAGCGTGGGGGCAGTGCTGAGTGGTCCATTCGGGACTCAGAACATGCCGAAGGCCTCCAGCCCTGAGTCCCCATCAGTCGTTGTCATCATCCTCTGATTCTTCTGACAACTCTGACGCACTCTCTGGCATGTCATCTCCCACCTGCTGGAACCTTCCCGACTGTGCATCCCACACGTACTTCATGGTCACTTTGAATTCAGCCATCTCGTACCCAAAAAGCTTCAGGACCCGGGCCTGCTCCGGTGTCAGCACGTCATCCTCCTTGCACACCTCGTAGTCCGAGAGCAGAGTCACCGCACCTCTCTTAAGGGCGGTGGGCAGGCCCAGCTGCCTCAGCTGTGGCTCCATGGAGTGGAGGAACTGCTCCAGAGGCCCTGGATCCAGGCTCACAGTGAAAGCTGCTTTGTTCCCAGCTCAGGCGTAGTTCATTTCTGCATATTTCGTGAACCAATCATTCACCTCCTCCTTAGTGTGGTTGGTGAAAAGGAGACCGACTTCACCCCGTAACTTCTTGCTGACCTGGTGCAGGTTGTCTCTGTATTCATCAGCTGGGCTTCGACCCAAGACCACCATCATCACCTTGTTTTTCCCAAAGAACATCCGACTGTGCTTCCAGGCGTTCCGGATGTCCTTCAGCTTGCTGTTCCTCATGTTGGCCACGGAGAAGATGAAGAGGTACTTGTATGTGTCCACACATTTCCGAAGCTCTTCTATAAGGTTCTGTTTTAGTCCCAAGCCTTTCTTGGCAGTTTCGGTTAAGGAAACTTTCTATCGCACTTGGATTTGGGCATCGCGCTGAAACCTCGTGTGGCAGAAGGCGGTGCTGCTCCTGAACATAACTTCTAGTTGTAAATATAAAGAGGAGTCAATCATCTAAAGCCAGTGAGGCTCTGGAGATGCTCCCCCCCCCACCACCACATCTCCTCCAGCAGAGAAAACAAGAGAAACTCTCCTCTGAAACTAGGAACTTCAGACTCTCACTGTGGATTCCAGTACTCCCCACCCACAGAAGAACAATGAAACTGGCCCAGAGTTAACACGTGTGAAGGGAAGTGTACACGCATACAGCTTCAGAAAAAACATCACATCTCCCACCCCACCCCCACCCACCCCCACACTGTCCTGTGAGCTGACCAGCAGGTGGAGCTCCATTTATGGGCAAGACTTTACGGCCCAGTAGAAGAAGATGTAAAAGAGAGCACCCTCATCCCAACAGAGACTGAAGAATTTGGTCACTAACCTGTCTGGCAGGTAGGGGAGGCCTACATTCTCCTTCCCTTTCAGACTCAAGCCCAGGGGAATGGCCACCCACCCCAAATGACACCACCCACCCCAAATGACATCACCCAAAGTGTGAGTCTTCTGGACTTCCCTGAACTGTCTCACACATAGGCTACGCAAGCCCTCCTCTGATCTCAAAGATGCAGCTGGCTCTGGGCCCCTCGTGGACTACTTTGCCAAGAGCACATTTGGAAGCAAAAGCTGTTCTTCACCCCCTGACATTACAGAACCTACTCCAAAAATAAGGAAGAAGTGAGTATTCCACCAGATCCCTAAAAATCCATACAAAGACACAGGAAATATGAAAATACAAGGTAAAATCTTTTCCCTAAAGGAATAAAATAACTCCTCACCAACAATGGATAAAACACAGAAATCAGAGAAATGTCACAAAAGGAATTCAGACCATTCATCATAACAAAATTTAATGACATGCAAAAGTGACAGTCAATTCCAGATAGGAAAATAATTCCATGACCTGAAGGAGGAACTCTATGAAGAGTTAGACAGAATCAAACAAAATCAGACAGAACTGGAGATGAAGGATGTAACACAGAAAATCAAAACCTCTCTTTAAATTATTAACAGCATATTATACCATGTAGAAGAAATAATCTCTAACCTTGAAAACAAAACCTCCAATTTAGTCCAAGCCACCAAAAGAAAGAAAGAAAGAAAGAAAGAAAGAAAGAAAAGGAGAGAGAGAGAAAGAAAAGAAAAAATAAAACAAAACATTAAAACTGAGGACAACATATGGAAAATGTTGGATAACATCTAGTGGCTAAACATTCATATAATGGGTATTCCAAAAAGGTAAACAGACAGGTAAAGGTATAGAAAATCTCCTTCATGAAATACTATATAAAAACTTCCCAAATTTATAGACAAATCTATGGACATACAAATATCCAGATCCAAGAAATATGAAGAATAACAAACAAATTAAACATAAGAAGATCCTTTCTAAGACACATCATAGCCAAACTGGCAAAAGTCAAAGACAAAAAGACATTCTAAAAATGGCAAGAGAAAAAGGTCAAATTACTTATAAATGACATGACATCCCATCAGACTAAGCTCAGACTTTTCAACAGAAACAATGCAGGCAAGAAAGAAGACATATTTAAAATTCTGAAAGAAAAAATGTTCAGACAAGAACTATACCTGGCAACAGTATCTTTGAAATGGGAAGGAGGAATAAAATCGCTATCAGATAAAAAAAAAAACTGAAAGAATACACCAATACTAGACTAGTTTTTCAAGAAATATTTAGGGACTACTATATCAGGGAAACAAAAGGGAGATAAATAGAAATAAGAAAACACAAACGACTAAGAAAATGACTAACAAAATGGCAGGGATGAGTCCACATACATCAATGCTAAATGTTAATGGATTAAATTCCCCAATTAAAAAACACAGATTGGCTGAAAATGGAACCTTATATATGCTGTTTACAAGGAATATACTTCAGTGTTGAAGACACATAGACTAAAAGTGAAAAGCTAGAAAAAGTCATTTTATGCAAAGAGAAACCAGAAAAAAGGCTGGAATCCAATATTGATGATATTAGTAAAAATAGACATCAAGATAACAAGTGTAAAAAGATACAAGAAAAGCACTGTATAGTACAATTTGGAAGTTTCTTGAAAGAAATTATAATGAAAACACAACTCTCCACAATGTTTGGGACACAGCAAAAGCAATCCTAACAGGGAAGTTTACAGCAATTAGTGCTCACAAGGAAAAAAAAAATAGAAAGAGGACAAATAAATAATATAATGATGCATCTCAAGGAACTGGAAAAGCAACAACAAAAAAATCCTAAAGTACTAGAAGAAAAGATATAAAAATTAGAACGGAAATAAATTAAATTGAGAGTAAAAAGGAATTTAAAAAATAAATCAAAAAGCTGATTTTTTTGAGAGGATAAACAAAATCAACAAACCATTAGCTAGACTACCCAAGAAAAACAGAGAAAGGAACCAGATAAATAAAATCAGCAACTAAACAGGCAATATTATAACAGATACAACAGAAATACAAAGGATTATGAGAGAATACTATGAGCAACTATATTCAAAAAATGTTGAAAATCTAGATGAGATAGACAAGTTCCTGGGCACATACAATATACCTAGATTTAACCAGGAAGAAATAGAAAGCATGAAGAGACCAACATAAGTAAAGATATAGAATTAGCAATAAACTGTCTCCCAAAAAAGAACAG